AGGGATAACATTTGCCAGCGTGTGAGCTTGAATAGGAAAACATACTTGTGCCCACTTGAACATTAGTTTAAGTGACAAGGGCAACAGATGCCACTGCAGGATGCATTCTGGACATATTCCTGGTCACTGGCCCTATGGTAATATCTATGCCTAGGACTATGCAATGTCACCTGTTCCTTTAATCATAATAACTAGCCCTCCAAAGAGGAGGACAGTCTTCTTTCCTGCTTACACCTAATACTCACTATGCTTTGAGGATAAACCAGAATAATCCACCTGTTGCTTCAAGTGACAAAACCCCTTCTAAAGACAATAAGTCTAATCCTTTGGAGATCAAAGAATCATAGAAAGGTTTGGGTTGGAAGGGACCTTAAAGATCATCTAATTCCAACTTCTCTGCCATGAGCAGGGATATCTCCCACTAGGCCAGGTTGCTCAAAGTCCCATCCAACCTGGCCTTGAATGCTTCCAGGAAGGAGGTATCCACAACCTCCCTGGGCAAGCTGTTCCAGTGACTCACCACCCTCACACTAAAGATTCCTTCTTAATGTCTAATATAAAACTCCCCTGTTCCAGTTTAAAGCCATTCCCCCTTTTCCTATCACTACATGGCCTTGTAAAAAGTCCCTCCCTAGCTTTCCTGTAGGCCCCTTTGGGTACTGAAAGGCTGCTATAAGGTCTCCCTGGAGCCTTCTCTTCTATGGAGATCAATCCCATATGATCATGGACTATTATTTTGGATCCAGAAGGGGCCAAATTTTCAGGCTATGTTATTCCAAAGGAAGGAGACACTCAGGTTAAATCCCTTCCTAGTCTTTCCTCCTGCCATGATGTCACATGCTGTGTGAGACAAAAAAAACCCAAACCAACAAAAAAAGAGACTTGACCAGGTAAGACAGTCATCTCAAAGGCCAGTTCTAGCAACAGCCAGAGTTTAGAGTCACTACTTTGTAATTCATGGAAATGCTATTTTGACCAGGCTTTTAGGACATGTGGCTAATGCATTTTTTTTTTCAATTTGTTATTACGTACTTGCTAAATTTGTATCCAGGTAGCATCCTTTACACTGATCCTTCCCTTCCTTTCACACCCAATGTCTCAAATGACACTTTGTATTCCAAAACCCAGACTGCTGCCATTTTCAAGCCCAGTGTGTGTTTTACTGCCTTACCCTATCTCACTTACACGGTGACTCAGCCCTGATTTTAAACCCGTATCTGCAGAGGTTTAATTTTTTCTGCTCAATTTTTCTTGACCAAGTACCTGGTCCTGAAAAAAAGCTTTGACAACAGCATTAGCAATAGCACTGGTATTACTAACAACAGCACTGCCCTTTTGTTATTGTTTTATTTCAAAATTTCAAAGTGCTGTGTTTATTATGCCCCACAAATCCTTGAAAAGATGGGCCAGCTTTATTCCTGTTTTGAAGATATAGGAAAAGCTGACAAGAAATTGTCACTCAAAGTGTTAGTCAGATTCCCAGGAGTTCTGACAAGCCAAATCTCTCACTCTAACCAGTATACAACATTTGTTCATCCTAACCACTGAGCTATAAGTCTTCAAGATCTTTCATGAACTTATTAATCTTCCAAAGCTCTACAGTTCAGCCCAAAAAGTCCAGGGAACAGACCATCCAGCCTGCCAGAGAGCTGGTGATGGACAATTACAGCTCATATGATAAAAGGACAGCAACTTTTTCTGCTTGCAAAATATAATAAAAAGCCCCAAAGTTTTTTTGTTTGGTTGGTTGCTGTTGTTTGTTTTTTTTCAACAACCACTGATTTGTTCTTTTTGTCTTCTTATTCTGATTCCACTACTGCACAGCAGTTGACAAAGCCTATTTCTGGGCTACTTTGTTACAACACAGCACTATATGCATAAGGGTGAAGGGAGAAAAAGAAAATAAAAGAGAAACACAGAAACAGGTTCTGACATCTAATCAGATCTGCTGCATTGATTTCACAACTTTATCTTTGGAGCAAATCAGAGAAGCCACCACATTATCACCCAGAATTCATTCTTCCTTCAAGGCAGCTGGTTCAAAAGGAGCTCACACTGACACACAAACAGGCAGACCTACACACACACACACGTGCCCATGCCAGTGTGGATTCACACCCATCTCTGCAGCTCTCCAGTGGGATGTGCAGGCTCAGGAGGAGAGGGGAGCGCTCATCACAGAGGCTGCAGGAGCCACACAATCCCTATTTCTGACAAGATGAGAATTCTAGAGCAAGCCACCAGGCTAATAAGCCACCCACGCTGGAGCACAGTGTTTCTATTAACCACAGCAGCCCTCACTGTGGCACCCACCTCCTTCCAGCTGTGTGAACTAGGAGGGGAGGGATAAACAGTGACTGTGTTGCTTGCTGGGTTGTTTGGTTTTTTTTGCACAGGGGAAAAGAGAGGAGCCTATAAATGTGATGAGGCCAATTCTTGTCCTACTTTCTTGATTCACAGTTTGTTTTTCATGCTGATGGAAGGTGAAAATTGACAGCCCCAAAACCAAAGCTGCCTGCTCAGGCCCAAAACAAGCAGTGCTACTGCAAGTTCCTTCCACAGCTTCCAGGCAGGAGGCATCCGTTCAACTCAGCTACACACCCAGCTTCAACTAGGAGTATACAGAACTGATGTGGAAGAGAAGAGAGCTATTTAGGTGGGCTGCTGCATGGACTATGCCACCATTACTTGGGCAAGATGACAATAAAGCATTGATTGCCCTTGGAAAGAGCTATAGGAAGAGCATGTTAAGTTGTTTTTTATGCAGAATGTCATCACATCTTTGCCTTCATGGGTGTCAATGGCATCAAGGGCTCTGCCACAGAAAAACTTCTGGTTTCTACCTACCATCTTTCTTGTGTGGGGAGTCACGTCCTCCCCCTACAGGCCAAGATTCAAAGCTGTGATTCCCTTCCAGACCACCCAGTAAGCTTGATTTCATTCCAGGCTTGGCACTGTTGCTCCAGTCTGCAGGGGCAATGAGGGGCCGTGAGGACCTCACTGCTTTCAAAGACCAACACCAGGCTGGGGACAGCAGCAGATCTGATAGGTTCGTTACTCAAGTGTGAGATTTTGTTGCATCTCCCATCAGTTCATGGGGTGACTCAAGAGTCCCTGCCATGCTCCATATGTCTGACTGTATCTGTTTTCCAAAACATCTTAAACCAAGACGCACATTTCCAACCTGCTTAAGAAAAGCTTCTCCAGACATATGTACCTGCACGGAGATCTGCACACATTTTACTGTCCCCATCCCATAATACAGCTCCTGCCACATTCCTGAATAGACGTGACGGACATTTCTGGACAGAAATAATTTTAAAAGGGGATCTTTGAATACTCAAAGCATCTGCAGGATGTGGCAACCCTCTGTTACTGCCATGGTCCCAACAGCTCACATCTGCCCACAGTGTGTCTGGTTGGTTTCAGACAGGTTATCTGCTCCAGCCTCCCTTCTGCTCTTCCTGGGAAGTGAGCCTGAGAAGAGTGTGGCAGTGTGTCTAATGAGCACTGCTGTGCTGTGCATGCAGGCTTGTCAGTCACGGCCCAGAGGCAGTGGGCCTGGGTGCAAATTAACCAGCTTCCTACACATCCCACACCTGCCAGACCTGTACTGCTCAGAGGACTCTGCTGGAGTTTGGCAATCACCCCACCCTGAGGGGACAAGGTCTGCAGGGAGGGCTACTCCTACAGTTGCAGCTCCTTCCAGACCAAGACATTTTATCCAGCTGCCTTTCTCCTGTGTGATTCAAAGTCTTGAAGGACAGAGCACAGACCCCCGCTTGTCAAAACACACCTCAACAGTATGGGAGCTGAGCAAGCACTCACTCCTCTACAGGGAGAAACCACTGCAGGAAAAGGATGGAGACAGTCATCCAACACAGACACCAGTAGCATCCCATTCAGCTTTGCGCACAGATACCCCCTTGAAGTGGGGATGGGAACACCATCCATCACTGAAACCCACTCAGGACACCAGATGCTAAGAACCAGTTTTCTTCATGAAAAACACCTGGGATTCTGCAGTCCATATTAGGGTCTGCATAGCACTGCAGGCAGGCACAGAAATTACAAGTGAGGTAACAAAGTTGAAGAAAGGGTCACGGGGTGAAAACGGCATAATTAACATTCATTTGCTACCTTTTGAGTGCTTGATCTTACAATTTTACTAATGTACCCTGCAGGTACATTACATAGTTATGTATTTCACACATATGTAATGCACACAAACACACACCCAGTAAAGCTGCTGGTTTGTGCTCATCCACTGGCAGGGCAATGGAAAACATTGTGCACAGACACACACACCACCTCTCCCTCCCACTTGCAACACGCTGGCCGTATGATATCCTGCCCTTAGCCTTGTGTAGCCGAGCCAATTAAACGCAAACTGTGCAAAGGTCCCCAGACAAAAGAGATTGTCTCTTCAGCCCAGTTAGAAAGTTCAACTCTGCTTGGAAGCAGCACTGAGTGTGACAAGCCTGCTTAGCCCACAGGTTTTTGTGGACACAGGGGTTCAGACAGGCACTCCAGTTCTCTGTGGTTATACTCACACTGCACGTTGAGCTGCACCAGGGCTTCCCGGGGTCTGATGTTAAATCCATTGTACCTGGCTGTCTGGCACTTATAGGTCCCGCTCATTTCTCGGCTCACACTCTCCAGGCGCAGCTTCCCATCGTGTGTCTCCATTGTCATTGTCCCTGAAGGCATGGGGACTTCTTTATCTACCCGAGACCAGATGATGGGTGGCTTGGGCTTCCCTCGAACCTCGCACTGAAGCTCAGCCCTGGAGCCCTCCCGGACGGTGATGGTGGACTGACCCTTAGGGACACTGATGGTCGGTGGCACTAAAAGAGACACAAGGAGGGAGTAATTTTATTATCAAGTTTCCAGCGAGCAATGAACGTTCTTGAGATGCTGGTGCTTGAGTCATATCAACAGCCCTAAACTGCAAAGGTTTCCACTTGACACACTGCAGCCCCTATAAGAACACACTGCTCATGTAAGTCACCCTACAGGGTCTGGAGGAGCAGGACCAAGGAAGAACCAAGTTTCTCCCACAATGTACCCCAATACCAATGGCAAATGCCAACTTTACTGGGACATTCCCACAGCTCTGATCCCCCTGGCTGCAAAATCCTGTCTTGCAGCAGGGCTAGCACCAAGGAACCAAAGGCAAAAGGATCCATTTCTCAATTTCTGGTCAGTGAATTTCTCAAGTGGAACTGAAATCTTTTGGCCAAGAAATAAAAGTCCTATCTACCAATGCATCTAGTACTCTCATCCAGGTGAGACCAAAATCAAGACTTATGGAGTCAGTGCTTGTAGATAGTACCTTCAGCCTTACCAGATGTCCAAGATCACTGTTTGGTCCTAAATCACAGAAAGGAGCCAGCTCTATTAACTGTCTTTGCTTAGTTTGAGATTCACAGAACACTAGTTATCTCTGGCTCACTCGAGTGAGAGATGGGACCCAGCAGAGATCACTTCTGGCACCCCTTCCAGGCTGGGAAAAGCTCACCCAGCAGAACTGCTGCTGAGCTGGGGCTAGAGCTGGTGGCACAGCAATAGTCAAGAAATATCCAGCTATCAACTGACAAAAAAAACTTGGCTGATAAACAAAGCTCAAAAGAAACGCAGTGGCTAAAGGGTGCAGAGGTGTCCGTGGGAAGTGGTTTGTTGTTCCCCAACACCAAGAATCCAGGAAGAGGATGTTTGTGCTAAAACCCATGTGATATTGGCATTTTATTTGTATGAGGCTTCAGTTAACTGTTCAACTGAGGTAAATATGGCCACAATCATTTTTCAAAAGCTCCTTTTTCAGTCCTTCCTGCTGACAGCAGTGACACTTGGATTGACGCTTCCACAACTGCAAGGGCCACATGCTTAATTTCCATTTAAATCAAAGTTTAGAACTACAGAGGCTGTAACAACCCGGTCTGACCAGTATTAGTTTGATTCAACTCCAGCAAAGGAGAGTGTGCTACAGTAATTGCACACATTACAGCCCACAGCTGCTTTATGAACAAATTTAGGATGGCTCCAGCCCAATCTCCCACTGCAGTGACCTCCCTGTGCAACAGGGAGGCCACATTTTCAATTTGCAGGTCTCTTGTGGGCTGAGGAATCTCATCACACCCTGTCCCACTCAGCACGAAGGGATGACAGTGCTCTCAGTGCCAACAGCGCCGGCGGCTGCTCACCCAGCGAGAGGCAATTTTCTCCATGGGGAAAAGCTGTAAATTGCATTTGAAGACTTACTTATTCTTTTTTTTTTTTTTTTTTTTTTTTTTTTTTTTTTTTTTGAAGCTATTGCCTTCCCTTAGGAATGCTGTGTGTATCATAGGACAGCTCCAACTACAACACTGCTGTTAAAAACAAAAGGGCTGCAGGCTTGGCCTCTTCAAAGTCTGAGGTAAAACTTCCCTCAATGTCAGTTTTGTAAGATCATACCCAGATAGCAATGCAGTTTACTTTGGTAGCAGTTCAAGATTTACTCACTGTCTCAGATATTTCACCACACGTATAGGTAGCATTGAATAACAGAAGATGCACAGGTAAATTTAAGGCTGTAATTCAATCAATGACCTCTGTGGATGTCTTAAGCTGAGAGTCAAACAGCTTAAGTAGTTTATGACCAGCGATAGAACTCCCTTGATTGAATTACTGCATAGGCATTCAATTGCAGAAATGTATTGTTATTTATATGATGTGCCAAAGCCTGATTTTAAAGTTAACTGTGGCAGGCTGTAACTAATGGCAAAAGAGCAGTATGGCATTACAGTGCCCCTCAAGCAAGGAAAATGAATGATGTGCAGAACAGAAAAGAGTCATATAATACAAGACCAGTACCACACTGTGCAAAGGATAAAGGGGGTTTACAGAGTCCTCTCCAGCTCTTAGCACCCCTGCACACAGGGAGGTTACGGAGCTGCCAGCACCCAATCCCCATGAAGCCACTTACACCGACAGGTGGGAGCTGTGTGCTGGCTGCAGCCCATGTCTCCTCAGAGCAACTCAGTGGAGGCAGTCACGGTGGTGGGTTTCCTCAATGGAGAATCATGGAGCCACCACTGCCACCTGCTCTGATCCCGCGCTGGGGAGAACCAGGCGGGTTTTTATGTGGGAACCACACCTTGGAGATGGCTGGTTGCTGTCCGTGGGGATGCTGAAGCTGGGCATCTTGGCTGCTGCATGGAGGGCCGCTCTGGCAGGGGTGACTGGCTGGTGCTTGGACCAAGACCTGCACCAAAAGACACTGCCCAGCCTTTTGGTTGGATCATCCAGGGTCTCCCAGCCCTTTGCTGCCTCCTACCCTCGCAGTCTGAAACAAAACTGCACTCTGCCATCTAGTGATTTTGGGCAAAAGAGATTGCTTCTGGCAGCAGCAGCAGCCACACTAGGTCGGGAGACACAGCTTTGCATCAGGATTGGGGGTTTCCCTGGTTCTGTTCCCTGCTGGTACAACACTGTTGATGTCTGCTGGCACCAGGAGGGCTCTACCCTCCAGGGCTGCCAGCAGAGGGGAAACACAACCCTTTGTGTTTAGTGGGTCCATGCCATAGTCTGGGCTCAATCTCCAGGCTGCTAATGAGCAGAGTGCAATTCTGTTTGGAATAGGTTGGCACCAGCATTTTTTCTGGGAGACAGGAGCTTCCCAAATCTGTCACAGCACCTTCTGCTGGGAGGCTGAAGTGAGCAACGTCCAAAATCAAGCCTGGGACCAGCCTGTACAATGGATCCAGCACAACCAGGGATTGAAATAAACTTTCCATGAAGGATCACAACACAATCTGTGGGCAGGTGGCTCCCCTTAGGAGTCCTCACCAGATTACTAGCCCAGTGCAGCTTTGTGCTGGACCCTCAAGGTACTGGAAATTAAGTAAGATTATATGGATGTAATGGAGAGAAGAGCTGGATTCACGATTTCCACAGAAACAAAAAAGGCAGCTCTAAGACTCGGTATTTCAGTCCCCAAGGTGACTGAGAAACACAATTATGGATTAGTCCTGTCCTCACCAAGCCATGGCATGAAGCTTTGGCTCTGCTTTTCAAGGGGGGAGGCATTTATAACACTTGAACTCCTACGGAGAGTGTAATTGCAATGTGTCTTGGGCAATCCAATAAACATTAAAGCTCTTCACAGAATTTGCTAGGAAGGATGATACCAATCTCCTGGGCACAGCTCTGAAAAAGGGGACATTCCTCATAAGCAATACCAAAGAGAGGAAAGAATGATTTTCTTTCTCTTTTACTCCCTGCTAAGCAAAGGGATGTTTGATATTTGGTGAAATAACATGCCTTCTTTCTTCCTTCACAATTTGGAGGCTGCTTTGAACAATCACACTCTAAACCTGTCTCTGTAGCTTTGACTGGACTGCACTTTGGACTTTTCATAGGGAGGAAACATAAAGGAAGATCTGCTTGGTGTGTAACGCATCTGGCAGAGGAGCTATAACTATCACCTGTTTCCAGTTTCAGGCAGATGCTTACCTGACAGTGTGAGGCTTGTCCCCACTGGGATTCAAGACACTCATATGAGGTCCTTCAAAAACACAGAGGCTGGGGTTGGGGGGG